TGAATAGAACCTTTCTATGGTTTAATGCTTTTCTCTTTGGATTTAGTTTACACACACACACACACACACACACACACACACCCTCACACCCTTATCAAGCCCTAATACAGGTACCCTCCACTTAATTTTAGAAACAAGGTCTCTCCTTAGCTTTGAAGATGTCAAGTAGGCTGGGCTGGGCTGGCTGGATAGCAAGCCCCAAGCTCTATGTAAGGTTCTGGGGATCAAACTCATTTCAGTGCTTACAAGGCAGGCACTTTACCAACTGAGCATTCTCCCTAGATCCCTCAGATCATTGTTTGTTGTCATTCAGTGTACAGAAGAAAAAAAAGTATACAAACCAGCTGAAAACTACAAAAAAAAACCCAAATAGACATTCTAGAACTAAAGAAAATTTAGTGTGTGTCTCTTTGACCCGGGCTGGAGAGATGGCTCAGCTGTTAAAGGCTAGGCTCACAACCAAAAATATGAGTTCAGTTCCCAGCACCCACAGATGTCTCTCCAGCCACCTAAATAAATTTAAAAAAAATGGATTGACCCATCTGAACTTGATGGATCAGATGAAAACACAGAGAGAAAGTGATAGATGCAAAAGGTCTACAAGAGGCAAAGAGAACAGGGCCAAGAGGTCAGCGTGCCTAAAGCCAACAGCAGGATTTAAGGAGAGAGTTTGAGAAAAGCTTCAAGTTAGTGAAAGATACATCTTACAAAAGCCAAGAAGGATAAAGACAAACACATAAAGGGGACTCTATGGTATAAGATTGCCTTATACCATAGAGGCTGAAGAGTTGAGCAGTGGCTGTCTTAGTGTGAAGACGTGCTGCTCAGTCCAGGAAGCTGGATTGCCTCCATCTAGAAATGGATTGTTCCATCTAGAAATGGGGGTCTGGAGAATTTCTGGACAGACAGTGATTTTCAGTCCATCTTGGAGGACTGAAGAGATAGGTTGTGATGTCAGTGTGGGCTGGTAGTAGCAGTGGTAGAAACAAGATAGATGTCCTCACGAACAAGGGGTGAAAGCAAGCAGCCAAACTCGCCTAGCCTGCTCTTCCTACCTTTAATAGCTGGGATGCCAACCAGAAGGTGCTGCCCCTCAGGTTGGTGTGAGTATTCTGACCCCTTCATGTAGACCTTCCCAGAATACCTTAACAGACATGCCCAAAGGCCCAAAGAGACATTTACCATCACAGCACCTGAAGGATGATCCCTCTGGCTTCCACAGGTACACACTCCTACAAAGGTAATGAACACACAGATTTGAGTGGTGCCATAACAGTTTGATCCTCCAAGTAGTATCAGTATTTGAGTGTTTGAGTATGTATAGTAACATCCTCAGTTATTTTATTAAATTTGATTTCCTTTCTGTGGTGGCTTATTTATTTGAAGTTCAGCTTTGCCCTATGGGACTGTAGCCTGAAGTAGGGAACAAGTTTCCAAAGCTCCCTCCCAATAGATTGTGGCTGTAGTTGTCTCCAGTCTGCAATGCAAGCTGTTGAGAAGCCTAGTTTTCACCTGTCTTCTAAAGCCAGTGAAGACCATTAGGAAAGGTATACCCAATTCTAGACTTTTCTAGTTTTCTTTCTTATCCTGGATTACTTTCTTGACTCTTAAGTACTTTAAGCAAAGTTTTAGATTTAAATTTTTTGCTAGGCATGGTGGGACAAGCCTGAAACCCCTAAACTTAGTAAGTATAGACAGGAGGTAAACAGTTTGAGAATAGCCTGAACCTGTATCAAAATTTAAAAACAAAAACAAAAAACAAACAAACAAAAAAAAACGAAGGAAGGACAGGAGAACTAAAGAAAATGAAAACAGGTTTGTTTTGTTTTGTTTTGTTTTGCTTTGTTTTTTTGAGATAGCATATTGTCCGTGCTGACCTAGCTGGCTTTGAAAGTACAGTCTCCCACCTCTACTTTTCAAGTGCTGGATTAGAGAGATGTACACAGTTATACCTGATTCTCTGAGTGATTGTACTGCTTTGTCACTGACATTACTAGACCCCCCCCCCAAAAAAAAAGTCTCCTTTTCTCTTTTAAGTTACTTTTTTGTTTTTTTTTTGTTTTGTTTTTGTTTTTTGGGGGTTGGGTTGGGTTGGGTTGGGTTGGTTTGGGGTTTTTTTGGGCCTGTACATGGCTGTATTTAGAAATCACATACTTGGCTGGGCAGTGGTGGCGCACTCCTTTAATCCCAGCACTTGGGAGGCAGAGGCAGGCGGATTTCTGAGTTCGAGGCCAGCCTGGTCTACAGAGTGAGTTCCAGGATAGCCCGGGCTATACAGAGAAACCCTGTCTCGAAAAACCAAAAAAAAGAAAGAAAGAAAGAAATCACATACTTTAATTTTTCAATAAATGCAGAATTCTAGTTCATTTAAAACTGACTTGCACATCTTTATTCTTGATTTTATGTTACTCTTAGTGTAAAAGAAATGGCATTTAAGCCTTTTCTTCTGGTTCAGATTTTTGTTTATTTTTAATTTATACCATCTATTTTTAGGGAAAAATGAAAATAATAGGGATTCTCACTTTAGAATAATTTGAAATGTTTTTAAGATGTACTTAAAGTAGTAGTCATTTTTACTTAATTGAAATTTGAAACAAATGACAATCAGTAATCAGAACCTCTGAATGCCTTGGGTGGTTGGCAAACTTTGTTGTAGATACTAAATCTGAGACAGAATAAACACATTCTAAATAATCATATAGTACTTAAAGGTATTGTGGGCAAGAAAACAAGATCAACTAATGAAATGTTTCAAAGTCCTTGTATATAACAACTTAAAATCATTTTACATGACATTTGCTTATTTTATTTGCTAGTTAGGGTGGTGGGCTGTGTGCCTTGAACTGTGTGTAGAGGTGAGAGGCCAACCAGAGAGTCAGCTCTTTCCTTCAACCCTCTAGGACCCAGAACTAGAACTCACCAGGATTGACAGCAAGTGTCATTGCTTGCAAAGCTATCTTTTTTATATTGTTTTGTTTTTTGAGACAGAGTTTCTTGGCATAACAGCCCTAACTGTCCTGGAGCTCACTCTGTAGACCAGGGTGATCTTGAGTTCAGAGATCTGTCTGCTTCTACTTCTCAAGTCCTGGGATTTAAAGCCATGAGCCACTACACCTTATGCAAAGCCATAATGATGGCCCATGTTTTTTTCTTTCTGTGTGTATATATATGTGCCTGTGTTTTCCTCAGTGTGTGCATATCATGCTCATGTGTTTGTAGGGTCTGTTTGTGGTTTGTTGGTTTTGGTGTGTGTGTGTGTTCTGTATATGCCAGGCAAGTTGGTTCACAAACTTTGTGGAATTTGGTTTCCACCTCCCATCTTAGTGTAGAAACACTGGGATTTCAGGTTTACACTACTGTGCCGAGATTTACATGGTTTCTGAAGATTCATACTCAGATCTTCACACATGGTTGGCAAGCATTTTACTTATTGAACCATTTCTGAGGCTCCCCCAACTTTAATTCTAAAGTAAATTTGTTACTTAAAGTATTCATCTCCAAACCACTTCCTGGTGTACATACTATGTTGCAGGTTCTCAAAAGCACCCTGATATTTGAAGGTGACTCACTAGAATATTACTCATAGGTAAGATTTATATAGTGATACCATAAAGGGAGACACAGCTAATCATAAGAGGAGATTCAAAGGTGTGGTCTAGAAGGACATGTACAGTCCTCTTTATACTTTCTCCTTTCATGAAGACCACTGTTCCTCAATAATGAAAAGACTCATAGTAATTTGGCATAGGGAAACCTGCGACTGAGTTTGCACTTAAGGTTGTTATTAAGGACTGGGTCACACAGGTACCTTTTGCCTAACCATATCCCAAATTTCAGATTCTTGGACAAAAACCAACTGTTTTAACACAAGCTTCATAAACTACAGTTGATACAGTGAGCCACCCCTATCATTTAGGGGTGTGCTAGTGTAAAGAACAAGTTTCCAGATGCCAGTCTAAGGCTAACCTTGTGAGAAAGTTCTTTCTGAGAGTGGCAGTTTTAGCCTGCTTTGTCAACTTTCTATAAATATGCCAAGAGTGATGCATTGTGAACACTTTGTTCAACATTGTATATCCATACCAAAGATCTGCATGGTGGCTTTGCTTCTGATCGTCAATCAAATAGTTATTATTGCCCTTATATATAATATTTGATGTTTATGTCATACTGTTTTTATGGGCTGTTAATAACATGCCAGTGCCTTTTGTCAGTTCAAATTCATGTGAGGGGTGATGGGACAGTGTTAGGACATTTAGTACATTTAAATCAATATTTAAAAAATTAAATTATAACAGGAATCAATCTATTCTCAGAGGATTTTGTATATATCCTTTGAAGGGTTACATCATACCACCCACATATTTTTCAGGTCTTAGTGGACTTGTTTTTCCTATGAGAGCAGTGTTTTGAAGAATATGTAACAAATATTGGCTTTAAAACTCATTTGATAATCAGGACTTTTGAAAAAAAAATTTTTGTCCTCTACTAAAGTCAAGTGGAAGAATCTTAGATCTTGTTTTTGTTTTTCGAGACATGTTTTCTCTGTATAGCCCTGGCTGTCCTGGAACTCACTCTGTAGACCAGGGTGGCCTAAAGACTGGATTTTCCATTCATAAATGGAGAAACTGACCCAGAAATCTACAAATAACTTAGAAATTCTATTCCACCCATTATGGTTTAGAGAATATGCTTTAGAGTCACAGAATATTCACGTTCTTTTGACTATGGATGAAAAGTGCCAGGGGCCATTGACTAAGGAGCTTTCTCTGGCAACTCTGGTGTTGTGTTGTTTTGTTTTCCTTTTCGTATTTGTTTTAGTCAAGTTTGTTCAGGAAGTTTAATAATGTATTTTCTTCAGCTCCTGCTGTGTATCAGACATGAATATTAGGTGCCGAAGGTAATTACAGTATGTCTTATGGTTGGCTTAGAGTTGCCTGAACTCTTTTGGGGTTACATTATATCCTGGTGCTTCAAAGTATGTTCTTTTCTTTCTCTTTAAGGCAATACTGCATTGCATGATTGTGCAGAGTCTGGAAGCTTGGACATCATGAAGATGCTCCTTATGTATTGTGCCAAGATGGAAAAAGATGGCTACGGAATGACTCCTCTTCTCTCAGCAAGTGTGACTGGTCACACTAATATTGTGGATTTTCTTACACACCATGCCCAGACAAGCAAGACAGAACGTATTAATGCTCTAGAGCTTCTGGGAGCTACATTTGTAGATAAAAAAAGAGATTTACTTGGGGCTTTGAAATACTGGAAAAAGGCAATGAACATGAGGTACAGTGATAGGACTAATATAATTAGTAAACCAGTTCCACAGACACTAATAATGGCTTATGATTATGCCAAGGAGGTAAACAGTGCAGAAGAGTTAGAAGGTCTTATTGCTGATCCTGATGAGATGAGAATGCAAGCGCTGTTAATTAGAGAACGGATTCTTGGTCCTTCTCACCCTGATACCTCTTACTACATTAGATATAGGGGTGCTGTCTACGCTGACTCTGGAAATTTTAAGCGATGCATCAACCTTTGGAAGTATGCTTTGGATATGCAGCAGAGCAATTTGGACCCTTTAAGCCCAATGACTGCCAGCAGCTTACTGTCTTTTGCAGAACTGTTCTCCTTTATGCTACAGGACAGGGCTAAAGGCTTGCTGGGGACTACTGTTACATTTGATGATCTCATGGGCATACTGTGCAAAAGTGTCCTTGAAATTGAGCGAGCTATCAAACAAACTCAGTGTCCAGCTGACCCATTGCAGTTAAATAAGGCTCTTTCCATCATTTTGCACTTAATTTGCTTATTAGAAAAAGTTCCTTGTACTCTAGAACAGGATCATTTCAAAAAGCAGACCATCTACAGGTTTCTTAAGCTGCATCCAAGAGGAAAGAATAACTTCAGCCCTCTGCATCTGGCTGTGGACAAGAATACTACATGTGTAGGGCGGTACCCTGTTTGTAAGTTCCCATCTCTGCAAGTTACTGCGATACTGATAGAATGTGGTGCTGATGTGAATGTCAGAGACTCTGATGACAACAGTCCCCTACATATCGCTGCTCTGAACAACCATCCAGACATCATGAATCTCCTTATTAAATCAGGTGCACATTTTGATGCCACAAACTTACACAAACAGACTGCTAGTGACTTGCTGGACGAGAAGGAGATAGCTAAAAATTTGATCCAGCCCATAAATCATACCACATTGCAGTGTCTCGCTGCTCGTGTCATCGTGAATCATAGAATCTATTACAAAGGGAACATCCCAGAAAAGCTAGAGACCTTTGTTTCACTTCATAGATGATAACTCGATTGTGCTTCAGCACTGTTAAAGCACGACGTGGGAACAGTTGTTTCATAATGAGCACTGTTGTGATAACACCAGCATTCATTTAGCTTGATATCATTGTGCTCTCATTGGCTAAAGCATTGTAAGCATCAACTTTGCAGGATTGGTTTCCCAGTATTTAATATAAATATACCGTATAATATATTGTTGTGAATTATTGAGAAATGTAATGTCATATTCAAATTTCTAAAATTGTCTGCCAAAGGCCATTCTGATTTTGTTTGCTGTTGGGTGTTTGGGACAGAGTTAACTGTTTTTCAGTGATGTCTTTATATTTTACTAGTTTGTGAATTTTATACAATTGAAAGTCATCCTCCCCTGGCTCCCACTTCTGTCTTCAAGTTTTGCCTGTTTCCACTTTTTTCTCCCAAACCATTTCTGCTACAGTGTTCCCTGAACCTTTGGGTCCATGCTAAGTCATAAACCTTATGGACTTGTTCACCATTTGCAGTTACCATAAGTGCTTTATCTTCTCTATGCACCGGCTTAAACTGGGACTGTTGTGTGTTGGCATATTGTCTATGCAGCAGTTGGTCACCTTCACCTCCCAACACTGTTTTCTTAGGTTCTGAAGCTCCTTTCACAGAAGCCCTCCTAGAGCATGTCACGTTCTAGAGTTGCCGGGAAGCTGTGAGCTCAGGCTTTTTCAGATCTTACAGTTGGTTTTGCTTTATTTCTTCATATCTGAGGTTTCTTTTTTTCAATCCACAGAAATTTTGTATGCTAAATTTGGGAAACAAATCTGTTACAATTCATTAGCCCAGTTGAAATTTAGGTCTGTCATCTTAGGATGTCATGCAGTAAAGGAAGACCTTTGTAGAGTGACCTGCATTTCATACCGCTCCAGCGTTGTCCTGCTTGTGCTGATGGTGTGACTAGGTGTAGAGAATCTGCTTCAGTTTAACTTCAGCCTTTATCACACAGCCTAGTGACTCACATTGAGCTACCAGTCATCGAACTGCAGACCACTTTTAGTTACAAAAGGCTAGAGCATGTCAGTGGCATGATGCTTGCCAAGCCAGACCTAGGCATCTAAGATAATTAAGGTATTTTAGTATGCAGTTTACTGCCATAGGATCAAAGGTCAATAACAGTGTTCTTTCTTTCTTCACGTTTATGTATATCTTTTAAAGATAACGTGCATGAATATTACTTTGATCTCAATTATTTGTCACCCTATTAAACACAAGAGATTGCAAAGTGATTTCTGTCCCCTTAATGAAAGCGCCTCCTTTTGTTCCTCTTCCCCTCCCCACCACCTCCCCCCTCCCAGCTCTTCCCCCTCCCCCTTTTTTTTCCTATTGTAGATTTGTTAATGCCACAGAAAGGGCTCTTTAGGCTTAAGAGAAGATAAGTGAAAATTAAAAAGATTCAGGTAATCACTCAGCACTTTACCGTTTCTCAGTAGAATTTACAATGAATGGTACATTGCCTTGCAGATGTCATAAAGAAATTGTTCTGAATGAAAAGCTTATTGATTCTAGCAAAGAGTCAGTTCGCCTGTGAACTTCATGATCTGGGTCACTTGGATTTAGAGATGACATTTTATTCTGAGGGTTGATGAATTGCCACTTAAAGAATTACAAATAATGAAATTCATCTTTATTCAGTAAAAATTTGTAATGGGTAGTAAATAAAGAACATTAGACTTTTTCATTAAACAATTGAGGTTTAATTCTTTAACATGTATCCTTACTTATTTTACTACATTTTAAAATACATTTTGCCATTGGAAAAATGGATTAGTTATCAATGGGCTCTTAAAAGTCACCTATGAAAAAGGTTTTACTATGTTTTATTTACCATGGGCAAGTGTGATAAAATATTTGAGCTGCTATATATAAGAATAATATATCATCTAGACAGATGTCCTGACAATATTTTGAAATCATTCCCTTTAATGGATGTTGTGAAAGTTATCTATGAGTGAGCCACTATTTTTTTTTTAAGAAAATTAAACTTGTCCATTTTCATGAATCATCATTGGTTGATTTCACTTTTTGAGTAAAAGATGACAATTTAATTTTAGGGATTTAATGTCTTGACTCCCCTTTTTGCCCAGAAGAGCCTGGCTCACATGCTCGTAGATCAAGGCACATCTTAACGCTGTTTTATAGGTGCACTGGAATTGCATAGCCCTGTGTGAAATAAGGATATCTTTACCAGTGGCTTCCTTCACTACGAATAGATAACAGAACTGGTCCTTACATAGTCTTGAACTGCAGTGCTGTATTGCAGTCAGGATGCGGCTCTCTCTTTTCTGTTTGCCCTCTTCAGAAATGCCATTGGGAGCTCCTGAAAAGAGCAGTTTAGTAGCTCAAAATTAGCCTTGATTTTATTTTAGAGTGAGTTGATTCAGGAGTGCAACCTCAGATAACTGTTAGGGGCTTCATCAGAAAAGTGTGAGACTGAATAAAATAAAATTCTGAAGTTTGTGGGTTTATTTTTGTCCATGGTGAGGAAATGATCTAATTCTACTCATTTGAATCAAACTAACCTGGACACGTGGTGGTATTGGCTGGAATTAATGTACAGGTCTCAACATTGTTTCTCCAGAAATGCCTCTGAATTTCAGATGTTCTACAGTTTTGATCATTTCTGTAAAAGAAATGGTTATTTTATTCAGATACCAGTCTCTTTTCCAAATGCAAATGAATTATAGGTTTTAAAATGTAATTTTTTTGTCCTTATGCTTGACAAGCAGAGATGTACAAGATAACTTGTACCCTTAATGATTTTGAAGTTAAGCGATTGCTTATTTGCCAAGAAGTAATTTGTAATATTTTTTAAAAGCCCATTTACTATGAGTTGAGAAATTGTTTAGGTTATATTTGGAAATTTAGCTTTTTTAAAACCAAATTGCCCGGCAGTACCCTTCAGCTTGAACGCACAGATGTGTTAATCTCTGCAAGTAGTTCCCAGCCGGGGCTGGGTGAGGGAGAGCGGTCACATACCCTGTACAACAGCACCGTTGCTTGGAACTTGAACCACTTTAAAGTTAGGTACGAAGGAAACTTAGTATCTAAGGTCTTGTCTTGTCTTAGATACTAAGAAACTTGAATTGCTTGTCATCTTTTTCCTTTTCTTTTTCCCCTTCTGTATCACTAAAGGACTATTTCTCTTCCGTTTGTTGGTTCCCATTGTGTATTTTTAAAAAGAAGTACTGTATCCAGATGCCAGCCAATAAATTGTCACACAATGGAAAAACAATATGCCACAGCATTGTAAGGTTTAATAAAATTAAATTTGCACCAAATTTAAGTGTGCTCTTACTAACTCTTAGTTCTTGGTGAGTGTATTTAAGTGGATTCCTGGATTCCTTTCTGAAAGAATGCCTACTTGATTACGTCAGCCGGTTAGAACTTACCCATGCCGTTATTCCCGATTCTTTGACTGGTTTAGTAACCAGTCAAACTTGTGTACAGTTTACTGTAATTTTTTTTCTGGTAAATACATAGACGCTAAAGACTGGGAAGACTTGGTGAAAAGCACAGGACTACTTTTAAGGTGTTCTTGTCTTTAATAGTTGGTATTACTAAAGACATGTTCAGTGATGTGTGTACAATGAAGGTAAGTTTTCTATACTTCTATTTCAAGTGATATAATTTAAGTTTCATTCTCTGTGTCTTAAGTTACCTAATATAAGATTTCAGTTGACCTGGAAAGTTGTTCATAATTCTAAACTCATGTAGTATAAATTAGAGTCCAGTGTTCCAGCTTTTCAGTTTTGGATCATTAGTGTGCCTGACCCATGCATGACGTGTAAGCACACATTGTTCGTTGTCTTCATTCCCAGTGTGTTAGCTATGACTGTCCTCATCACCACAAATACTTAGAAAAAAAAACTTAGCAAACTTACAAGGAAAAGAATAATTCTATTTTAAGGATTTGAACAACAAAATGTACATATCAAGATGCTGACTTCACAATGCCGTTTTTCAAGCTTTTATGTGTGCTGCTGGATAGGATAGCACAGTTGAAGCCTGGGCTTTGGGAGTTAAGAGGAATAGTTGGTTCCTAAGTGCCACGTTACTTTATGTTTATCATAAAGGGTCCATTAAATAAGATTTCCTCACTAAATTACAGCTACATATTATTGTTATGTGAGTTTAGTTGTTTTCCCAGTGAGTCCCTTTAAAGAAGGATTTAATGACAAGTGGCTCTGTCAGTGCGGTTGGGATGTACTGCACTGTTTTGTATTCCGTGGGTGGGAACTGAGAGGTACACAGGATTTGACATTAATGCCAAAACGACCATGGAAAGATCATTCAGTCTGTTATATTTATGAATCATAAAATTTCTCTGTAATCAATCTTCGGTGCGAGTTCTATTGCTACAAGATAATTGAGTTAGTGTATTGTGTGTCTGTTTTCTTTTGCAGAAATGAGCCTAGTTAATAAGTCTACCTTCTTTGCCTGCATAGACAATTAATGTTTGTCTTTCCGGTAGCCAATGTTAAATGATCTATGGTTTATATGAATGTAACTTTGTAAAGACATTATAGATACTTAGTTACAAAATACAAACTCTGTGACTTGTCTATGATCTTGACACCTAAAATGTTTAGTATTTAGTAGAGGATATACCCAGCACCGTGCATTTCCATTAGGTAAACTAATAGACACTTCAGATTTCACCAGTTTTCCTCTAATGTCTTTATACCTGGATCCATTTTAAGATTACTTGCATTTACTCATCTTGCTTGTTTAACTAAACAGTCTCTTATCTTTCCTTTTTTTTTTTTTTCTAAAATAGTGGTTTAAAATATTTTATATAACTTTCCTTAATTCAGGGTTATTTGGTATTGCACCAGGACTGGAGTTGTCTACGGAAGTATGTTAATCGGTCTTGCTTTTTCAACATATATACAATTTCAACCTGTCATCATTGATGATGTGAACATCAACACTCAGTTAACATATCTACCATGCCTCTCTGTTTTTAAAGTTATTATTCTTTTCATTTCACATCCCGTTCTCTGGAACCAAGTCACTAAGTCCAAACAGTGCCCAAGAGTAGAGTTTAACTTTTACTTTCTAGAAAGGGCTGTTTGCATATGTTACGTAGAATTCTAATGTAAAGAATCCTTCTCATTTATTCACCGTATGTCCATGTAAGTTATTAGTTCTTTTTGTTGTAGCTCAAAAATGGTATTTTGTTGCATAAACAGTTCTAGATTTTGATAAAATGAGCCAGTTTAAGATGTTCAAGGCTGGAGTTCTCAATGGTAGTATACATATTTAACCCTGGGTTCAGGCCCTCCCGTTCCCTATAGTAGTGTGGAGGGAGACGTCCGTAATGAAACCAAGCCATATACTATGATCCAGACAGGCAGGCTATTTCACTGGCCTTTACCTTTTTTACAGAAAGGGACAAATGCTGATCAAGAGGTGATTGGGCCAATCCTTTTGTTCAAGCTTTGATTGGGAATAAGGGGTGGGGACTAATACTCAGTAAAGGTTCATTATCCATAGGCAGCTTGAAAGGATGTTTTTCTTCCTCTTTAAGTGTTCTGGTCTTTCAGTTTGCAGGTTAAAACATGGCTGATTTAACCTAGGAACTGCTGTATTACCCTTACAGCTGGATCATTTCGTTAATAAATGTCTTAGTCATGGTTTGGCTGCATCTTGTGATAGGTTTAAGGGACTTTAGGAACTTGAGCTGCTGAGAAAATACTAAGGTTAGGTAAAAGCTTGCCGACTCCAATTGGCCAAGTCAACCCTGAGTGTGTGGTCAACAGAGCCAAGTAGATCTGACCCAGGTAAGCCTGCAGAGGCCGGACACCATGTGAAGACGGATGGGGCCGATGGGGCTTTTTGTCTCATTTCAGTAATCCATCAGCATCTTCAGGTTTGAGTAAACTCAGGGTTTGTAGCACAAGTGGCCTTTACATTTTTTTACAAAGTAACCTGGGTAACTGTTATCATAACTCAAATGTCAGGTATGATCTACAACAGATATTCGGAAGCCAATGTCTTACTAAGCTGTATAACCTCCAAAACTGAAGAATTTAAGTCAAGGGCAGTGATTTGCTCTAGCAAACCTGACTTGAGTCCATTATGAGGGTGTATTGGGGCCATTTTCTGGGATGAAATTTTTCCTTTACTACAGTCTCCATTTATCTTTGTTTACCCTATAATTTTGAGAGATTTGGCATCTTCCTGAAGTCATTTTCATAACCACTGTAAATGTACCTGGTTTTACTGGTTTACTCTGGTATTTCATACAAAACGGAAGGGTCCAAGGATGCGGACAGAAGGGCACCATGTTTTAATGAAGAACAGATTAAGGGACCAGAGTTTATTTGCTTTTTGTGATCACTCTTTAAAACTGCTTTTGTGACCACTACCAAGCCCTTTAAGGTCATACTGTATTTTGTCTGTGTCAGCTCTGGAATCAGTCATTGCCCCAGAGCATCATGTACCTCTCACAGGAGAGTGTTGTGTACAGCCTAGGGTCTATATGCTGATGTGACTGGTGCCAGTGGGACATCATTGCTTCTTGACCTCAGCCAGCCAGTCTAGGAAAGCTAGGAGTGTGTCATAACATACCTGTACCTCAGAAATGCCTTTTAGGTTTGCTTTGATTTGGCTCAGTTTGATTTGTACAGTTTAATACAATTTAGTACAAATTAGTATAATTTAAATAGAGTCTGATAATATAATGTAGGTTGACCTGAAATTCTTATCCCTCCTGCCCAGCCCCACTGCCAGTATTGCAAGCAGGGCACAGTGTCCAACTCTGCCTATGTATCTATGAGCCTGACTTTAACTTATACTAGTATATCTAATTCCGAGCTCCTTCAGGTTCATTCTGATTCCATTATGAGGGTGTATTGGGGCCATTTTCTGGGATGAAATTTTTCCTCTACTACAGTCTCCATTTATCTTTGTTTACCCTATAATTTTGAGGGATTTGGCATCTTCACTGTCTTCCCAAAGAAAAGCTAAACCCATACTATTTACAGGGAAGTTAAAGTTGTGTGCATGTGTGCTTGTACATGTGCCTCCATGTACACATGGAGGTCAGAATACCTTGGTAGGAATCAGTTCTCTCATTCCTTCAGGTGGGTTTCAAGGATCAAGCTTGGCTGCAAGACAGTTGAAGTGGAATACTGTTGTTTCTTACAAATTGTTCTCTTCTTTTTCTGGTCTCATGTTTCCCAGACTGTCCTCTACTTTGTATGAATAGTACAAACCTAGTCTTCATTAGCTGAGTTTTCTTTATTTTCCAGACTTCATCTTTATGCTTAAATCTGTGCTTTGTGTTTTATTTTGCAACTTGAATTTTGTCTTATAAAACCTGTAGTCCAGCAATTAAGAGATGAGGACAGGAAGATCAGAGTTCTAGCTCATCCTCCATTATACAGCAAGTTCAAGGCCAGCCTGAACTACAGGGAACCTTGTTTCAAAATAACAAAAATCATGCAACTATCCTTTGAATATGTGTGTAAGTTTGCAAATGATTTTTTTAAAAATGAACTCATTAAAACTGGTGCATTTTGTGTATTTCTAAACTGTGTTTACTATAGTGGTTGAAAACTACTCAGATCTATTTGTTCTTTGCAGTTAGGGATTTCAAAGAATTTATTAAGATATAGAATTTACAAATAAAAAGGAGGAAGATATCAAAAACAAATCTTTAAGACTTTAAAGCTTTGTTAATCTTTTAAAGTGTCTAGAAGTAATTAAAACTTTTTTTTGACAGCCTGGGCTATAAAGAGAAACTCAGTCTCGAAAAACAAACAAACAAACAAACAAAAACAAAACAAAAAACTTTTTTTAATCCTTGAAATTAGCCCAGGAAGAAACAGCTCTTTAGTCTCTGCCTATGAAAGAGATTTTAGCTTCAAGAAAAATGTTTTTCCTTTTGTAAAAATTAATTTGAAACTATTATTCTGTAATCTCTATATAGTCTGTTCTCAGTATTGTCACAGATTATGTTACTCCTCTTGTTGCTGTGGCCAAATACACAACAAGAAGCAGTGTGAAGAAAGGCTGTATTTTGGCTCTTGGTTTGAGGGTACAGTCTGTTGTGGGCAGTGTATAGAGACAGGCTGCTTGCTCCCATTGGGTAGACCAGGAAGCCAAGAGCAGGGACTTTGGCATTCATCTAGTTTTTCCTTTTCCTCCAATGAATTGATCATTCTGAACAGATACATGCAGAGGTGTACAGGGTAGCCCGAGGCCACCATACTCCGAGGTGGCGTGAGTGGCTTTGTTAAGCCAGTGCATTGGGGAAGGTATTAAGGACTGT